GCCCTCGTGTGTGTGTGTGTCTGCCGGCGCATCTGATGTAGACACCCTTAATTGTATGTGTGTAGCTTGGTAGATGATGGGAGTAGTCTGCTGGAACAGACTCTAATTTGATGCTTTAAACACAATTCCATAAAAGTCTTAAAGCCACACTGCACTACTCTATAGATACTTGCTCCCTCTATATAACAAACAATGCGTAGTCTGTGACCATTGGTCCCCCATGATCCTCTTTTTCTTATGTTAATTGAGAGCTGATTTGATGAGATAACCACCTGTCCAGTGACTTTGCAGGGTAGTCTAATCCCTCCTGTTCACTAGATGGGCTTTAAGCTGAGCTGAACTCTGTCCGGCTCCTTGTCAGAGGCACCCACAGCACAGGGCTTATGGGACTGCAGTCTCTGTATAGTCTCCTAGCCCAAAGACCCTATGTTATGCATTACGAATCACAAGGGTTTCTGCATGTAGCCCAACTGCACTAGTTTGGCCAGGAGGGATTAGACCTCCCTGCATGGTCACTGCCAGGTGGTTATCTCATCAAATCAGCTCTCAATTAACATAAGAAAAGGGGGACCATGGGGGACCAATAGTCACCAATTAGGCATTGTTTGCTATATAGAGGGCGCAAGTAGCTATTAGTAATGCAGCAGGGCTTTAAAGGGGCAATTTTGAGAGCATCCACAGGGAAATCATTTGCTGACCTGAATGAAATAGAGGATGCTGGGAGAGTTCATGGTCCTATGGTTACGCTGATGGGGGAGTGGAAGCGCTCCTGATCAAGGATATTGGGTGCTAAAATTAGTCAATGATTGACAAGCGGAATATTGGTGAGAAGAAAACATATGGGAAATGTACAGAGTTCAGTATCACAGGCAGTAATGTTAAGGTCTGCTATGATAACATGCTAACACAACGTAATGTTGGATGTTTTTAGCTAGGACTGTTTGTCTCTGTCTTTTATGTGTACTTGTAGTAAGTATTCTCACTGAGGAGCCTTGTGGGGTATTGTTTCCATTATGACTTTGGGAAGAACAGTAAGTTTTATGTAAACCCTCTGCCCCTCCTCCTCCCCCTTAAAAAAAATACATGAAATTAAAATCTCTTGGAAAATTGTATTTAGATATCCTAGGACACAGTTTTTTTTTATAATGGGGGGGGGGGGGCGGCTAAATAGCAAAATGGTTTCACAATTTAAAGGTGCTAACAAAACCCTTCGGCTGCTGGAACTAAAATAACCTATTAAAAATAGATATGTTGCAGATATTCAAACACATTTCTAAACCAAAGAACTGGTAAATATACACACAAAAAGTATGATTTTTCAGCACCCCCCCCCCCCCCAGGGGCTCCCCCTTGACTATATGCTAATTCCACTTACCACTACACTTTATAGGTCACATACTAAGATCTGTTGAATATTTCATGACAAAGAGCATGAAAAGCCGCCACAATGCCCGAACTCGCTGCCTGCGTCTAACATGCATGTTGTGGTTTTGTTCAACAAGACTGGCTTGATGACACACAATGTAGCCGATCGATCAGGCTTTAATTCAACTCCTCCGCTTAATCCAATGATAGGATTTGGGTGGAACTGATATAGAGGCCATAGAGTTCCATAAAAAGCAACAGTTGTCGTAGAATATGATTGATTTGTGTTTGCTGCGGTAACCTTTCGCGATAATACTCTGATATTGCACTATGCAGATGAAGAAGAACAAAAAAGCATTTATTGCAGTATGATGACTCTCATAATACAAAATGGTTGAGCGTATATTCTTATGGTTTTAGGCTGTAACTCTCTTTTGAAATTGGAAAATGAAACTTGTCTATAAATGTGATAAAGTGTAGTAATCTTGTGGTTATTTAGCCATTTATGATTGTTCACTGTTGCAATTTTATGCAGATGAAATGTGTTTGGAAGCAGAACTGAAAAGTTATGATAAATTTGAGTATTGTGGTCAATCTGGTCATACAACTGAATGTATATTAAAAAATTCTGCAATGTCATTAATTTGAGTATTTTAGTGGTAAATTCGTTTAGCAATTCATGATCATACACCATTTCATTATTTGCAGCTGGAATATATTTTAAAAAACATAATAATTTGCAACATGATAATTTGAGTATTGTGGTTTTAGCCATTCTGTCTGTGGCAATATGCAGATTATGTTGAAAAACAACATTTACTGCAAATTTCTGAAGTTGATTATTCTTGTGGTTTGATTATTTATACATGTACATGTATGCTGTTGAATCAAAGTAGAATCCTGTTTTCAAAGTAATTAAGAAGGACAAATTTTGCAAACAACATTTACTGCAGTTTGGTGAACTATGCTAATCCAGAAACATGTTTTGAGTGAAGCTATGTCTTCAGCCAATTTCAAGATTTCTGCATGACAGCATATAGCTACCACAATATCAGCAAAAACACAAACTGAAAATAGACTGTGTAATATGCAATGCATGCTTATGAAAAAGATTGGTTTGTGTGGTCTTCAGTATTCTTGCTTGTTTTCATAACCCATTTATAAATTATACAAGCAATAAAAAATACATGGATTTGCAGATGATAATGCTAATACAGAAATATGTTTTGAGTGAAGCTACAATTTCAGCCAATTTCAAGATATCTGCAATATTCTGCATGACAGCATAGTTACCACAATACAAGCTAAACACAAACTAAAAATAGACTGTGTAATATGCAATGCATGTTTTGGGGAAAGAATGGTTTGTGTGTTCTTCGGTATCTTTGCAGGGATTTTTGATTTCATAGCCCATTTATAAATTATACAAGCAATAACTAATACAGGTGATATGCTCATCCACAAACATGTTTTGAGTGAAGTTACAATTTCAGCCAGTTCCAAGATATTTGCATGTAATTATGGCAACTACAATATATATATGCAAAAAGCAAACTAAAAATAGAATGTGTAATATGCATGCTTGTGGGAAAGATTGGTTCAAGAATTGAAACTGAAACGGATAGTTGAAAGAAACTCGATTGTGGTGATCAATTTGAATTTTGTCACTATAGTAATTTGCTTTTATGACCATTAATGGGGTACTCATAAAAATGCAGAGAGTATTAAGTGGTGGAAGAGAGAGAGAGATATATATATACATATTTACATACCGATAGATGGAGATGAAGAGATAGGGATCAACAAAGAGATTTTAAGAGAGGGAAGATATTTAGAAAGCGAGGTATATAAGGTTGAGACATTGAAAAAGAAATTAGAGAAAGAAACAAAAGGAGAAAAGAGGAGAGGAGAGGAGAAAGAGAGACAGTTTCCCTCAAGGTATGTTTGTGGATTAGCATATCATCTGCAAATAACATGTATCTGTTATTGGTTGAATAATATGCATCTTGTCACTTCAATTTGCTTTTATGACCTTTAATGGGGTACGGCGAGAGAGTAAGAGTGGTGGAAGAGAGAGAGAGATATATATATACATAAAGATAGATGGAGATGGAGAGAAAGGGATAGACAAAGAGGTTTGAAGAGAGGGGAGAAATTTATTTAGAAAGCTAGGTATATGAAGTAAAAGGGACATTGTCATAGGAAGAAAGAAAAGGAGAAAAGAGAAGAAAGGAAGAGAGAGAGAGAGAGAGAGAGGGAGATAGAGCAACAGCTTCCCTCAAAACACGTTTGTGGAAGATATTTAGAAAACTAGGAATGTGAAGTATAAGATACATTGAAATATAAAGAGAAGAAAGTAAAGGAGAGAAGAGGAGGGACAGACAGAGAGATAAAGAGACAGACAGAGAGACAGACAGAGACAGCTTCAGAGACAGAGACAGCTTCACTCCAAACATGTTTGTGGATTAGCATATCATTATCATCTGTAAATAACATGTATCTGTTATTGCTTGTATAATTTCCTTTTTGTCATTAATAGGGTACTCACTACTCATCAAAATGCAGAAGTAATAAGTGGAGGAAGAGATATATATACATACAGATAGATGAAGATGGAGAGATAGGAATAGACAAAGAGGTTTGAAGAGAGGGAAATTGTTTAGAAAGCTAGGTGTATGAAGTAAAATGGATATTGAAATATGAGAGAGAGAGAGAGAGAGAGAGAGAGATGGGGCTGAAGACAGAAAGATGGGAGAGCAAATATGCTTACACCAAAAAAACAAACAATTCACATATTGTGTGGCTGTTAAAGAGTTGGGTAAGTGATTCAGTGGAGAGAAGTGTGTTGGTACATTATAATAGAGGGAGAGAGGGGGAAGACAAGAAAGTGGAAGGAAAGGTGGGAAACAGGGAAGATACTCGGGCAATGAAGAAGAGGAAAGTAAAGGAGAGCCAGTGGGGGGGGGGGGGGGGGGGGGTCACCGGGTGACACAATTGCTCTTCATCATTCACAATTTCTTTGATACTGTACAAAGTTTGAACGAACCTTAATAAGTAGGTTTATGATTTGGTAGTAAGGGAGATCATGATGAAACATAAGTGACGATCCTCCAACACGTACAGGCAAAATGAGTCACCGTGTTTCTAGTCTCCCTTGTTGCCCTAGGATAATTTTAATCATAAATCCATCATTCTTGACAGTAGATGGTCATGCAGTAAACTGAACTTTATTAACGATGATGGATCACATTATTACTCACAGTTTTCTTGGGCATGTTTATTAAGAAATGTTGTTGTTTCGTTAGCTCATAGACTCTCTCTCTCTCTCTCTCTCTCTGTTTCTCTTTATCTGTCTCTTCCTCTGACTTTGGAAGTAAGTTATTTATTAACTTTCATGGGTCGACCCACCAAAGATTTCATTGACTCAATTCTCTCATTTTTCTGCTTCTATTAAAACCATCAAAAATATCAGGGTGGAATTTCCCTTTGAAGAAATTAAGGAATGAATGAATGTAAGATGTTTAGGAGATGGAGGATAGAAATGCACTGCAATGTGCCAATAATAACAATCAATGTGGTTGTAATGGTTCATAAAATACTATAATTCAACGTTTTTTGTGCTTTTTCCATAACAGACTTGAAGAATGTAGCTCCCTATCGCAAAGTCATGCGCAAGGATCGCGCTATGCTGAAGAGCCCATCTCTACAACGCAAGCTCTACTCTCTGCCTAAGACTGTGCCAGGTAAGAGGTTCCTCTCGTCTCCATTGTCGATCTTGCCGTGTCGTAACCTGATCATGAACATGTCCACTTTGCCAGGCCAGTCTGTGAGCCGTTCATACTTAAAGATAAGCTTGAGTTTCGGGAATGATAGAAAATAAATACTCACAGAATCCAACAAAACTGAATGTTCAAGATTACAAATACGGTAGATAACATGTGCCAAATGGTTATGGTAGAAAATGTGTAGGGGCTGAGTAATGAGCATAGAAAGATAAGGAAATCAAGGTAGTATATAGGCCAGACACCATGTGCTTAACACAGGTCACTATGTGCAAATGGGAGTTGTGGTTTTTATTGAAGATGATTTCCAGGAAGTTTTTTATTTACTGGTTCAAACAATCAATCTATTGCAGGATAAACAATCCAGAATGAATTACAGCCATGTTCTCTTGACATACAATGCCCATACCAGAGTTCAAGATTAGCACTACAGAAATCTATATGAGGAACTCATAATGGTATAAAGGAACACACTTGTACAGTTAACAACTACATGATTCATACCCTTACCAAGTTTTGTAACTTTTGAACTATGTGAACAATTTATTTGTCCCAAATTATGTTTCTTGAGACTGTGGCATTTCTCTCCTGGCAAATGTACCTTAATGTCTTACCAAAGAACAGCTAAAAAATCTTTGAGAATTAATTCTGTTGTCTCTCTGTTAGCAGATTACCCATCACTGGTACATTTCAATAATTTCATTTAATTTCAGTGAATGGCTCCCCCACCACCACCCGAAGGTCCCCATTAGCGAACCCACCGTCCCCCGCCCAACCGAGAAGGGGGTCTATTAAGACTCTCGCCGAACAACGCAAAAACTCTGCAGGGTCGGTCAGGTCAAAGGTAGGTCAAGGGTCGCATAGAAGCCCAAACTTTAGAAAACTCCCTGTGTAGAAATCTATGATCTAAAGATCCATGATAGTAATTGTAAGAATATGTATAAATATTCATTAGGAGCAGCTACACTGTAAGCGTGCATGAATGATTTTGACGTAATAAAGAGTTTTAAGACTCATCAGTTTTTAGTTTAGACACATGAACATGATGTCGTCCATGTCTTGTATTGCCCTAGTTCAGTTGGATTTGAGTGAATTAACGCCAACAGCTATCAAGACATGGTGGCAGCGGTGGGATATGTCATACATTTTTCTCATCATGATCAAATTTAGGAACTTCAGGAAACTCCTTTGTAGAAATTCTCTTGAAAATAAAGATTCATTATAGAAATTTGATTTCACGCTGTCATACATTTTCCTCATCATGAACAATTTAGGAACTTCAGGAAACTCCCTTCGTAGATATTCTCTTAATAATAAAGATTGATGATAGAAATTTGATTTCATCATGTCATACATTTTAAATGATCAATTTTAATGTTTAATTTTGTTTAACCTCACATAGATTAGGTCTTCCACATCACTGTGCATATTACTGCACAACTTTAAGAGTACAAAGATATACTGACACAAAATGGTGGCCTGTATTTGTACAGAAGAAGGAGAAGAATGTTAAAGAATATGGAAATTGCAGAGCAATCAGAGAAACATAAAAATCATAAAGTCATTCAGATGACAAATATGTTATAAGTGTAAAAATGGTGCAGTTTATACCACTTTCTCTTCTTAACATTTTAATGAAATGATGAACAAATGAATAGCCTTTTTATAGCAAGTATTTTTTTCAGGATTTTACTTCCTCTATGGTTATTCAACTTTTTGTAAACTTTCATTTTGTACCTGTCTTATTTTCAGAGTAAGGAATTGATTCGCACAAATTCTGGCAAGCTCAAGAATGGATCAGGTGGGTAAAATAAGTTTGATATCTGAGATATTCCACACGTCGGGGGGCTTTGGGCAATTTGCACCTGGAATTAATGAAAAGGCCCTCATAAAATAGCTCCCCCCCTCCCCCCTCACTCTTGCCTTGGGGTTGGAGGGTGCGAAACTAACATTGAAAATATGGAAAGAATGTCTTATTACTCATATTTACATGGTAACCTTACTTTTTAAAAATTGGGGCAGCAAAGCATAGCGCAGCCTACATTTCTATATCTTCTAACTTACAGATACATATAAGTGAGTATACTTGGGGCCATTGATTGTGGTATGAGCTGATACTTTTTCTCACCCTCAAGAACCATACATTTACACATAATATTGCTTCTTTAAAAGAAGATTGCTGTGGCGGTTTGCCATATCATGTGCAAATGAGCCCTTACCATGGAAAGCATATGGAGTATGGGTGTGGAATAATTGTCACCGGCTTTGAGATACAGATAGCCCTAATATTCACAGAAATTCAAGATATTCTCTTTTTAGCTCATTTGAAATGCATACCTGCATTAAAAACCAATCCCCTGAATGTGTTGAGGTACATAATTATGAATGGGTCTTCAGATGAAAGTGAGCATGCGAGAGAGGAAAAAATGGATTGGCACATACATTAGATAGTCTGTTTGGCACATACATGATACTGTTTGGGGCCAGAAGGGCAGTTATTCATATGCTTTAACACAGAGGTAACTTCCTTCTGGCTCTGAAGGGATGGTATGTACTTACACTCCAAGCCAAACACGAGATGCTGTGTTCTTGCTGTGAAACCTCATCTAAGAACAAACATGGCACAAAGCTCGGGTGTTGAGATGTCACGATAATGTCAATCCAGGGGTCGTGCCTCGTCCTTGTGCGGGTGTGAGAAAGTGCAGATGAGAACCCATTCCCATAATTGTGATCAAGTTTAAAGGGACACAAGGGCCCTGTCTTGTAAAGAGTTGAGATTTATCAAAATCAGTCCTCTAATCACTTACCAGTTTGCAGTCCCCTATCTCTAATATATATATTTGTGATTGATATCAATTGCAAAAAGTTGCAGTTACTAGTAATCGCAACTTGTTATAAAATAGCGCCAGCTGTCACCAAATTATATACTTTTATGGATTAGGCATTATGTAGAAGTGTACATATGGAAATGAGAAAACAATTTTAGAGAAAACAATCATATCTCACATGAATTTGATAATAGACAATAATAGTTTTACAGATAATATTTTTGTCAAAAGTGAATTTGATCGGAATATGTCATGAGCATGGCGAAACCATATTGTAGTTGCTTTCTGTTCGATGAGGGGCGAACGATCACAGTTTTTGTTCCATCAATCCTATATTATGACTCATTTAATTTTGAAGAGCATGCATGTCTGTTACAACGTTTGTACATTCTTGTTCAATATATAAATCTGATACACACAGTTTCAAAAATACAAATGTGAATTCATCCAATAGTCTTTAATCTAGAAAGAGAATTCTTTAAAAGACAATGTTGTATCTCTTTTGCTGCTGATAATTTGTTGACTAACATTTCACACATTTTACATAAATTCTTGATGTCTCTTAATACCGGATGTTTGAATTGGTAATGAAATGTACTTCTTCAATTTTGCTTTCGTATATCATCTATATGCATATACCTTTTTCTGTGCAGTTTCATTGGATATTGAGTATGGAGAACCTAATGGGGGTTCCCCGGTCCCAACCCCAAGGAGCAACATACCGGTAGCCCTGGAGGAGAAATACGTCATCGGACGCATCATCGGCGATGGCAACTTTGCTGTGGTCAAAGAATGCAAAAACAGGTGTGATTTGAAAGTTTATTTCAAGGTCAAACAAATCTTCCTTCACCCAAACTAACACTGTGAAAAGGATAAAATCGCGTCATAGCAGTTTAGAAAAAAATCTACCCTAAATCCATGTTTACAACACAAAAGTTTTGTTTCCCAGTCCTGTATAACTGCAACTTATTTTGAAGGGTTTATGTGGATCTGTTACTGATGATGTTGATAAAGGTGATGATGATGATAATGATAGTGATGATGATGTTGTTGATGATGATGATTATAATGATAATGGTATTAGCTTCTCGTCACCCCCCTGCTGGGCATTCATGGTACTTTGTCTAAAATGTCTCTTGGTCAGTATGTCAATTAAGAAATTTATATGAATATATCACTTTAGCCAGTGTAACTTTCATAGCGATAACTTTCTACAAAAACTATGTAGTGAACTTGCAAAAGCTTTGCATCATATGATAACTATATTCTGTCTTGAAATCATCATGTTTTATTTGTGTGTGTTTCTTCATCCCTATTACCACATGTCTAGGTCAACCAATGAGAAGTTTGCACTCAAGATCATTAACAAGAGGAGATGTAAAGGAAAGGTAAAACTGAGATTTCTGTATACCAACCAATTCTGCAGTAATAATATGTTTTTCTTATTTAGATTTACCATTATTTTTAGTCAATATGTTATATTTGTTATATCAATAGGTTGATTTGCTTGAAAAATTATTTGGGAGGCTTTAGGAAAAACCTTGTTGTTGAAAAGAAAAGATAACAGTTTGCCTTTTTTTATTTCTAAGTCATTAGCACACATGGTCAAAATTAATATATTTACATTTTTTTTTCATATACTAAAATATTGCCCAAAAGTTTTGTGTCATCTAAAAAAAAAAAATTTGAACAGGGATCATAGTGAATTTGACTTATGCCACATTTAATTGTATTGTTTCCATGACAACAGGAAAAGATGATAGAGAACGAGGTTAGCATCCTACGTCAGATGAAACATCCCAACATTATCCTCCTGGTAGAAGACTTTGACTGCCCCACCCACCTCTACCTGGTCATGGAACTTGTCAAGGTAAGGGGTCATTTTAGGGTCAAGTAAGGGTTAATTTAAGGTCTTTCAATAAGGGTTAGTAAACCTGTTTAGTTCTCATCCTAATACAACTTGGGCTGGAGTCTAATGAAATGTCTGTTATACCAACCCCAGATTGTATTCAATTATTTACTGTTCAATGATTATGTTAGTCTCTTGCTTCAACATGTCATCTTTTTAACTCTTGACATCAATGCAAATAGTGCACTTCTGGATGCAAGCTATCAATAGTCTTCCTGTATAGTATTTTTCTTTCTAATCCATCCACAAGAAATGTTCCCTTGGGAAAGTACTATTCTCCTCCTCTTTCTAGCCATTCTAGACAATTTCCAGAGCATATCCATGTATTTCCTCTCTTTTGGGCGCAAACAGTTAAAGTTGCCTCCCTAGGCAGGTGGCCTCTTTTTTACTTTAATACAAGTGGCTACTATAATAGGTTTGACTTAGTTTAAGTATATATCGAGGGTTCAGTGACACAAAGACGTAAATCCATATTTTGTCAAAATGAGTATTTGATGTCAAAATGTTCAGAAAAATGTGGGCTTTCCAGGAAACAGAGACTTAACTTCACCCAACACCCCATTGAAGTCAATGGCTAGTGTCACATAAACCACTTTTTCTCAAAATGGCCAAAATAGAGTTGCGTCTTTGTGTCACTGACCCCTCGATATGTATGATGTACAAGGCAGCTCCACGCAGAAGTGTTTTTAGGAGTTATTCTTACATGTAGATGAGTGTTTCATTGCTTGGTTTTACAGGGCGGAGATCTTTTCAACGCCATCTCGACCACCACCAAGTACACCGAGCGCGACGCCAGCTGCATGGTCCACAACCTGTTTAGCGCCCTCTATTATCTCCACTCCATGAGCATCGTCCATCGCGACATCAAGGCCGAGAACCTCCTGGTCTGCGAGCACGAAGACGGGACCAAGTCCCTCAAGCTGGGTGACTTTGGTCTGGCTACCGTGGTCACCGAGCCGCTTTTCACCGTCTGCGGAACCCCCACATATGTGGCCCCTGAGATCATCATGGAAACAGGGTGAGTGTAAACCTTTAAAGCCCCACTGCACTTCTTATAGCTACTTGCGCCCTCTGTATAGCAAACAATGCCTAATCGGTGCCTGTTGTACGTCCCCTATGATCCCCTTTCTCTTATGTTAATTGAGAGCTGATTTGATGAGATAACCACCTGTCAGTGACCTTGCAGAGAGGTCTAATCCCCCTGGCCAAACTAGTGCAGACGGGCTTTAACCCTTATGTTGCCATCGACCAGATCGATGTCCCAGATGCAATTTGATGAGACAGGTTTTCAACAGCAGTAATTGTATTAACAATGATAATGATAATGATGATATTAATAATAATTAAACAAAATTAGCCTGTCACGTCTTGCTGGTGGGGGCGCAGTTGATTGTGAATACTGGTTATTAATGTTCTGTATGACTCTTGTATCTTGTAGGTACATGTTGAAGGTGGATATCTGGGCTGCTGGTGTCATCACATACATCCTTCTCTGTGGCTTCCCTCCATTCAGAAGGTACGTGAGATATTGATAGCAGGATTCAGTAGACATCTTTATTAAGTTTGTGAGAGATATATATCTCTTCAAAAGAGATGCAGATTTAAAAAAAGAAGTGAGCTGTATAAACCTGCTGTAATTATATGCAAATTATATTGTAGGAAGAAATATATCTTGTTTTACTCATCTTGCTTGACCTTTTAGTTTGTAGTCCTGGGGTCAACCTTGACCTTGTTTAAGAGTCAAAGTTGATCTAAGATTGATTACAGGTCTTCCCATCAATTGTAATGTTACATATATCTTCTTTTACAGAGATGTGATTTATATCAAAATTAAGTTGAGCTGCGGAAATATTAAATTATTCACAACAGGCTCCTGAATATCCGAGACAGAAGATGGAAGAAAACATGTGGTTTAATGTTCTAGCATGATAGCTTATGATGGAGGGCCATACATTAACCTGACTCTGAATCATAGGGTTGGGGGCTCTAATTCCAGCTCGGCACCGTCATCCTTTGGCAAGACATTAATTCACATAGGCCACTCTCCACCCAGGTGTTAATGTCCGTTTATTAATAAGAGCGATTTTAATCGAAAGTAACAGTTGATGTCTCTTAATTGATATTAAAGCAGAGTGAAAATTGATGATCACTATTTTTGAGTAAAAATTAGCAATTTTTATAGTTTCTTTAATGATTTTCACTTACACTGTTTCATTTAATATACATTTTTATATTTCTTTTCGACTATGGAAAAGTGGGAAATACAAAAAACAATGTCAATTTGGGGAGGAAAAGCTGAATAATGTAGACCTTCAGAAAAACTGGCAATTTTTTGTTGCTTTCTCTATGGGTATATTACTTTTTGATTATAAAAGTGTGGGGAATACACATACAAATGTTGCCAATTTGAGGAAGAAAAGCTGAATAATGTAGACCTCCAGAAAATTCTGAATTTCGAAATGTTATAGAAGGATCCAACCCCTTTGCTTTCATTCCCCCTCCCCTACAGCCAAGCCAATAATCAAGAGGAGCTCTTTGATAAGATTGTGGCCTGTGACTTCAGCTTTGACTCGCCATACTGGGACGAAATCTCCATCTCTGCCAAAGACCTCATCAGCGGCATGCTAGAGGGCGACGTTGAGAAACGTTTCTCTGCTGTTGATGTCATGGATCATCCGTGGGTTCAGGTATGTATTAATCTTGTCTTGTCGCTAAGCTCGTAGAAAGTAGAAAAAAGTGGGAAAGCTTGTTTCATATCATTTATTTCATTTGAACATTGAAGGAAACAAATCTTACTTTTCTAGATGCCATAGAGAAGGCCTGTTTAAATCTGCATATTGCACTTATTTATACACATCTGCCATGGTTTACTTTGATCATAGGCAATAATAAGAACATAGTTTTCACTTCACTAGCATACAGCTATAATTATCATTAGATTTGTACATTTGTATTTTCAAGCCTAATATGTCTGCCACCATATTATATACTGCGCCTATCCATTTGTACTTCTTGCCTTTGAACGAAGCACAGAAACCAAAAGCAAATGATACAAAACTGACACACAAAAAGTATTGATCCCTGAATCATGAAAGTTCTATAGCTCCTTTTGGTCATTTCTTTTTTTTCTTAGCCATTTCTAGGAAGCACACAAAGTAGGGTCTAGCTGTCACATGCCGCCATATCAGATTTCAAATCATTATGCAATGCTATTATCATAATCAATTTTGTTAAGAAACTGTAAACATCATTTCGTACTCTATGTTTCAGCATTTTAAAATTTAGTGTACAAAAATTGTAAAACACTGATGTTGGTAATATCAGACCACTCCTCATGAAATAATATTATTTCTCATAACAAATATTCTACATTTCAAATTTATTCCATGCAAATTATTCCATGCAAGCTGATCGACACAAAATGCTTACAAGAAATATCGACAAATGGTGCATAATGATTAAATATGCCTGTACGTGCATATAAATTAAATAGTGTTGTTTTAGTCACTTGCATTAAACACTGCTATTCTCACCAAAAAGCTTTCCAGACATAGCGACTAATGATGCTTATTAATTAAATTTGTTCCATTTTCCTACCAAATTAGGTAGAGAGTATTAGGCATTGCAAAACGAACACTTGCTATCATAAATATAACTCATTCCATTCACCATGCTCATCGCACACCATTCTCTTTACTCCTCATTCCATCTCTCGCAGGACGATAACGCCATCAACCGCGACGTCCCAATCGATGTCTCCCATGAACTCAGCGTCAACTTTGAACTCAAGGGCAAAGAGTCGAGCAGTGCTGCCGGCATTGCTGTTATCACCGTACGCATCTTAATTGTCTCAATCTTTTCGATTCCCCAGGCGGTATCACTTCATATTGACTCTGCGAACGCATGATCATTTGAAAAAAAATTGGTGTGGAAAGGGGTCGTTTTGGGGAGATGTTCACAAGCATTTCAATCAATGTTTGCGATTTTTAAACAAAGGTATGAATTTTTTTGATGAAAATCAAGAAATTTCAAGAAAAAGGGGTCATATTTTATTTTCACAATTTTCGCAAACATGTGGATTTTATGTTAAAAATTATATTCAGAGCTCATTTTATACCCATTTTTTGGCATAAAAAGAGGTCATATTTTGGGGGGTGGAATATGTTTGTAAAAGAAATGAATGTAAATGAGTCATTTTGGACTATGCTAATGATCATGTGTAACATCTCTAATTATGAAGTGACATCGCCTGGTCTGATTCATGGCATTCATTCTTACACTGACTGATATACAGTCAAAGCTGTCTGTTAAAGTCATCAAAGGGAAACGGGGAAGGTAGCCACATGTAGACAGATGATTTTCTAGGAAAGTTCTCCAGCATATGTTTCTTTTCAGAGAGAGGCAATATAGGCCATTTTCGTAATGTTATCAAATTTAATGCATACATTTTTGTTAAATGCCTAATTATATAGATCATTTCATTCAACTGTTATGAATAATTGTATTTCAATAGTCAGAGCAACAATTAATGCATGCAATTCACATTCAAATATTGAAATACAATTATTCATAACTGGTGAATGAAATATTTTGTAACGAGGCACTTAATTAACAAAGATTTATACATTAAATTTGATTATATTACAAAAATGGTACATTTAGATGGCCACTATAGGCAGGTTTTGTATACAAAGAAATGGCCAGCGAGACTGGTCTGATTGTATATTTTTCAATCAGTCTATAGTAATATTAATCTTTTCATTGCCAAAGGCAGTTTGTCTAGCCATAAATTATAAGCTAGTATGTACACTGCACTGCATGATTTGATAAGGGCTAGAAACACTAGCATTTCATTCCATTGGAGATACTTGGTACTTTAATATTCAACATAAAAATTGACAATTTTTTTTCATGACCCTCAACATTTAGCATTGTAAGTTATACCAACAGTGTCTGCTTCTAAAGCTGATTGGAATTGGACGTAGATCGAACCAGATGTTAGTTCAGTCGTAAGGTTATATATAAAAATGAATAAATAAGGGAGATGGGACTAACCCCCTGTCTGTCTCACTTGTTCACTGCTTATCAAGTTATCTTGATTTCCATCATGTATTCTCTTCATATATTTACCGGTACTGTTTTATCTCTTTAAAACTTGTACTGTTACTTTCTTAATTTCTATTTTTGTTCTGTGACAGGCTACAGCACTGGACAAGGACAGCAAGTACTTCCAAGGGCGTCGCCCGAGGGAGGGGGCTGAGGGGGCAGAGGACATACCCCGACAAGATGAGCTTGCTTTCTAGACAACCCTCTACCACTCCCCAGTCCTGATCTTCTCTCCACCAACTCTCACTGTCAGCTCTCCAAAGATCCTATCCTCTCTATGCACTCTCGGAACTCCAGCTGTTTCAAGGCATTTTCTGTAATCAACAAGAAATATGTCAATCACTTTGTAACCTGATTGGAAGATGATCAAGTGTGCGTCTTCTGGGGCCCGTTTCACAAAGCCTTTTTTCAATGACAAATGAAAAAAATCAGTGACAAATCTGCTGATAACCAATCAGAAGCAAGGATTTCAGTAGCTTATAACAAAAACTGTCATTTGTCACTGATGACAAGTTTTGTGAAATGGGGCCCTGGTGTAAAGAGGTGCCTCTGGTCTCTATTTGGAGGAGGGACCGGGAAAGATGAAAGTGTAAAGGTTAAAGCCCCACTGCACTAGTTTGGCCAAGGGGTTTAGACCTCCCTGCATGGTCACTGACAGGTGGTTATCTCATCAAATCAGCTCTCAATTAACATAAGAAAAGGGGATCATGGAGGACCAATGGTCACCGATTAGGCATTGTTTGCTATAAGTAGCTTTAAGCAGTGCAGTGGGGCTTTAAAAGGTTATTCCACATATCCATAAGTACTAATAATGCTAATTAGCTTCTTTTTTTGTATTCGTTTGATCAGGGTCCTGTTTCATAAAACCTGTCATCAATAACAAATGCCACAGATATATGACAAATGTAGGGATTTCAGTAGCTTTTAACAATCACTGAATCTTATTATTGATAACAAGTTTTATGAAATATGTCCCTGCAGTAACAAAGTTAGTACAAAAGAAAAAGTTGATAGTACATGTAGTATTCATGTAACCAGCAGGTTTTACATTCAAGAATTCTGTAAATGCTATGTGAAACCTGTGAAAGGAAATTGGGCAGGAATCTTTACTTTACCTCACAAATTACTGAAAATGTACTGAAATTAGCAAGCTTAAAATGCAAGAATTACCTTTTCTTATTCAAAATGTGCTTATATTTAACAGTGTACAAACACTCAACATTCCACCAGAAAGATTTGCATGTATCACTACTTAGTACTACTCGAAACAAATTGTCAGTACTTCGATTTTGTAATTCTGTACGTGCTATCCAAGAACCTAACTATTAATAGTGAATAATCATGAATTTTTGTACTATTTTGTTAATACGTTGTGAAACGTAGCTTCCAGTACATTGAAACCAGAGCAATGTAATGTTGAGCTCAACAATATGTACTTAATAATAATAATAATAAAATATTGGATATTTATATAGCGCACATATCCACTATGCATGGTGCTCAAGGTGCTCCAACTACTACCCCGGCTCTGCTAGGCCGCCGATTTCAGCGCTCATAGCATTCAAGAAATCCCTTCCTACCGGTACCCATTTTACACCTGGGTGGAGAGTGGCAAATGTAGATAAGCAGTCCAAGTGATAAGCAATCATATCATCTCAGTCATCCGTACCTCAAAGTTATTTTGCAAATGAAACAATATATACCAACATGTTTTTTAAAATCAAATAATTGAAATATCTATTTGTAAAGAAACCTGCATTTCCTTTAAAATGACTTTCAGCTCCATGAGCATTTCAGTTGAGTTTCCTTGTCATACACAAGAACTGATGCATGCAGAGATTACTGAATTTGCTCAATGAAACAATCTAGATGCATGGTATGTATAATGCCTGTTGCCAATTTGTACCTATATTTGTATCTTTATTATCTGACAATGACTAGTATTCTTAGACAATCATTGAAATTAATCAGATTAACATTGAATTGAATCAATATCGCTGCATCAATCATTTTGTTACAAAGAGCATGATAACTTCAGTTTCAGGGTGTCGATCTCCGCTTATAACATGCTTGCTGACAAACTCAAACTGTGCTAACATACAATCCACCTAAATATTTTCTATGCACGTAAAACATTACAAGACTGGCTAAAATGAAGTTGTATTGCATGCTCAAAGTTTCCTCATGGAAAGAAGTCATATCCATCGATTTTGCTGATCCGCTTGCCGCTGGAACTTGGTGTATAACAAATATGTATCTTGCCCCCTGGTAGATGATTTATGTTTTAGTAGTGAATGGGAACTCTTGTCTACAGCAAGAGCTAGATGTTTGCAGCATCTTTATTTTCATCATCATCATCATCATAATCAGCAGAGTTATCATCATTGATATCATCAAAATCATTATTATCATAATAATTGGTGTCGCCATCATTATTGTTATCATTACTGTCATCTTCATTTTCATCAATATTTTCATCGTAATTTTCATAATCACTTTCATCATCACCATCATCCTCATCACCATCATCATCCTCATCATCATCATCATCATCACCATCATTGTCATTATCATCCTCATCCTCATTATCATTATCCTCATTATCATCCTCATCATCATCCTCATCCTCATCCTCCTCCTCATCCTCCTCATCATCACCCTCATCATCATCATTACTCTCATTCTCATCATCTACTCTCCGTCCACTTGGAGGCAGTCCAGATGTTCTGTGTCGGCCTCAAACTATTGCGGATTTCTGGGCATTCATAACTATTAGAGTGGAAATCATATCCAATTTAGTTGTGTCGTGAAACTTAGATCAGTAGCATCTGTAAAAATGAATGAACAAGCATAAAACAATTTTCGCCTCAAGTTGTAAGTCTAAGGTCTGCATAGGTTGTATTCTGACTACTTGAGAAGGTTGGCTATATTCTGATTCAGCATTTTAATTCCAACAATTGAAAATGTATTCATTGTGAGCTGTTTTTCAATCTCTTATACAGAGATGAAAGGAAAAAGTGGTAATTTCAAAAGAGTATTATTCAGGAATATTCCCTTCATTTATAAGATGCCTGACCACTTACGGTACATGTACAATTGAGAAGAGAAACATTATCCATCGTTCATTTTAGTGACTCAAAGTTAGGTTCAAGACTTTTGTTACACCAGTTTAAACAGGCAAGTTAATAATTTTCTTTTTAAACATCCAATTGTGAAACAAAGCAGGAAGCCTGGTTGTCTTGAAATGACTCAAATATGTAACCGATTGTAGTGTGCTGCCAAGAAATCTTCTAAGACATTTTTCAGGAATCTGATAGTTGTTATTTGTCTTTTTCTTTGGGTGCTACGTGACTGTTTCCTATCAGAAACATTTATTTTTGTCAAACACATCATAATTGCTAAATGGTCAATTTCTTAAGAATACTTGGTGAAAACAGATTTTATTCTTTTATTCTGTTTTGATAGACAATGTCATTGCACTTTAAAATATGACGTTCATTTTGGAAAGTGGTTAAAGATTGAATGAAAATGCCATTCAACATTATTTCAAACAGATACTTACTTTCTTTGTTTCTTTTTTCCCCACTTTTTTGTGAAACACTAAAAATACCAGATATTATGATATCTCTCTTTTATTATACAATTAGATGTTTCTTGTGGATGTTTATATAATAGTTGTTTTTTAGAAGAATGTGTTCATTTGAAAAAAAATCCAAGTACTAATAGGAATTTGAAGATACATATTCACCATTAACAATCATTTCATTAGAATAATAGGTTCAAGCATCAGATACATTTGGCAGTTGTGTGCTATAGTAAGTAGAATACTATTTACAAAACAACTTTGTTTTATTAGAGGCTAACTACAGCAAACTTTCATCATTTTATTTCAATTTCTAAAATGAACTGCTCTACATGTTTGTGTGAAACAATGATTTACCTGTACATTAGATGTCTGCTGTGAGCCAGGTTGGCGTTAAATCTTTGTACAGTCAAATGTGAGTTCTTTTATTTTGCCCTATATGCAAAGCATACATATTTATTTTTCCTGTCTGTTTCACTGTAGATAACCTTCTGTCAAAAATAATGTACATATGTAGTAATTGTATACTTCTCTCTGTGTGTGTGTATAACCAAAATGCAAATTCTAGCTGTGGAATTCAAATTCCAGAGAATAAAAATCAGTAAATTGTATTCATGTATTGCTATAGAGTAGATTTTTTTGTTGGAATCTCTCTTTTTTTCTTTTTCTGAGAGACACTAACCATGATCGAATTCACAGTGTGCATTTTTGTTTTCAATTTTCAAGAAGGAAATATTGTACCCCAGGATTCAAACTTGGAGGTATTAGATGAAGTGTATATCATACACTTCATATATTGTAAGCTATCGTTATCTATGTGGCAACTACTTAGAATTTGTCTAAATCATGGTCAAGACAATATTATTTCCTGATCAATTGAAACAACACTAAACATTAATGTAATGTACTTATGATGCAAGAATTTTGTTGTTGTAAATGTTCTTTCTGGATGTATTTGCAGACTATTTCAACTTGATGTCGAGCTATAAAGCAAATATTCTAACTTATTTGTATATATATACATGTACATACAAACAAATGCAATTTTGCATGTGAAAACGGTGTGAATGAATGAATCTTTGAGTAGCAATTTATTTAAATGAGCTGACATTGTCTTCTAATAGCGAGGGAACGTGTAATTTATTTTTGCTGTATCTTTTAGAAAAGAGTTGCAGCCTCGACACAAAGTACTATGAGATGAGCACAGTTGTAATGATCATCATACATTTTGAAAACCTTTCTAAACTGTCAGTCGATCTCACTCAGACAGGTTTTGTTTATTGAATAATCATGACTGTCATGTGGATGGTACTTTTAATTACAATTAATCATTATTTCCATGCAGCTTTTGTTTTGTTATCAGATAAGTACAAAGTGACTCATGGCTTTTCCAACGTTTCTTATATTTTAAGAATTTAAAGTGACTTTTTGAAACGATGATATATGTATACATGACATGGCAGAATCTTTCACACAGTGCTGAACAATTTTGTAAGATGTGAGATTTTTCGTGTAGAAAATGTTTTAAAAAACCCAAATCATTCTGTGTTTTGGATACCAAAAAAGTGAGGAAGAAATTTGAAAATACAATTTGTTCACATTTTTCTTTGCTATGTACAGACGGCTGCAAATTATTGTACAGTAGTCCACACATTTCCGCTAGCTTGTCGTGAAACAGTAGGGTGAAAACTGTTATAGGCTCAAACATTTTTATCGTGCAATTTTATTTATCAAAATTTGTTTGAGTTTGCGGTTAAGATGTGAGATATTAGCTTGCGTTCACTTAGTTTGTAATAACCCAAGATACAATGTAAAATTTAGTTGATGCATTAATGTATCTTTCTGTTAAAAGAGGTTAAATATGACACTCTTGATCATGTAATGGAAAATATGTCCAATTTCACTGCCAGAAATGTTAGCATGTTGATGCCATCTAAAAGAAGATGACAATGTTGTTTTGACTTATAGGGAATGAGAATTGGTGTATGTTTATGTAATATTGATGCTTTCCAGGCAGCCTATTGAGCGTAAGAACTAAATACTTAATGAGAATCTACCTTCGATCTCTCTTTCTGAAGCACCATATTATTGTTGATTGTTATGAA